TAATAATATCCTATTAACGAGAATGCAATAATAATAATAATAATTGGCCCTAATAATAATAATATTAATAATAATAATAATAATAAATAATAAATAAATAATAATAATAATAAATAATAATAATAATAATAATAATAATAAATAATAATAATAATAATAATAATAATAATAATAATAATAATAATAATAATAATAATAGTGACAATGGTAATGCAGCAGCATTATCATCACAGCAACAAACCAAAAAAACAAAACAAAAAACACAAAAAACACATTTTTAGTTGTTAAAAAAATGTTCCTACCGACCTACCCTTTTTTTGGATTTTCCCAAAACGTGGCCAACACAAAGTTTCTTTTTTGGCCTAATTCACAAGAAAGCTATGAAAATAATGTAAAACATGGTTAGTTCAAACACAATAGGAATTGTAATCATCCTTGGCTTGGATATAAGAATTTGTCGAAAAACGACTTAGTGAAAAACTGCCCAATTTTGTCAAAAAAAAGGCAAAGCGCGTTTTTATTTTTTTTTTAAACAAAATCAAAATTGGACGTTTGCTATACCTTGCCATTTCCGGTTTTTGTGTTCTGTGGCACCTCGGATCACATTATGCACTATTAGTGTTTACTGAGATGCCACTTACTTATAAGCTTAAATAATATATAATTTTTAGTAGGCAAATAGGATTAATTTTGGAATAATTCACAACATTTATGCAAAGAAAATTATGTTAAACATGGTTAATTCAAGCATAATCGGTATTTTTTATGATCCTTGGCAACCATAACATAAGAATGAGCCGAAAAATGACTAAGTATGATCACAAACACTATTCATGTTTGCAAATGCCACTTCAAACCTTGTTTTCTAAGCTTAAATATTATTAATTCTGACGATATCTATTAATTCATTACAGGTTACATTCACTATTCACAACATTAATGCTTTGAAAATGATGTTTATTAAAAGGTTAAATTAAAAAATTATCGGTATTTTCATGATCGTCCAGAGGCAAGGAACCGGACATCATTTTATAGTTCCCTTTATGTCTAAGCTTCAAGCTTCCGGTTGCCAGTGCCTCTGTAAACCAATATCTAACTAAGATGGGTACCTGTTTTTGTACAGGAAATTTTTGTTTTCTAGACCCCCGGAAATAACCTCCGAGGCATTTTGGGGGATCAATAATTTCTTTTTCTTACAGCTTTACCTCTTTTTTTTTTTAAACTTTCAAAAAAAAAAAAAAAAATCATGAGAGCGTCATTTCCTGATATCAAGAGGGGCATGTTTGCATATTAGGGCCAACCACCATTGTATGTTAGGGCTGAGGTTATAGTGGGTACTTTTAAACCGATAGGGCCTATATAAACCTACCTATTTTTAGAATTGGCTTTTCCCAGCAGGAAAAACCATTCTTTTGTTCTATTTTTTTTTCTTTTTACTTGCATAGGCCTACATTTTCCCTATCTTTTTGCACTGGGTTTTTCTACCCGGCACTTTGGTCACTTATTGGAACTTTCCATGCTTTGCCGAAGCATAGACCATATAGCAAGGATGTGCCTCCTAATATTTAGTGTCAATCTAGGGTGGGGTGTACATGTGAGGACAAATAAAAGTGATTTAAGGGCAAGCTGTCTACACCAGATATCAAAAACGGGTCAAGTGACCTGAATGAAAATTTCGGGAAACTCTTAACCAAGTTAGGCCTACAAGGAAGAAATTATGTCACTGGGGACAATCTAGTTAAGGGTGTAAATTTGAGGGTCGTTTACATATTTAAATATCTCTTTAAAAAATCAATGGGTATAATTGAAACTTTGTATAATAATAGTTGGTTGAAACTCAATGAACGCACCCCAACCCCCGACCCATGGCAGGTGTGGGTGGACTAATAAAATGGAATTCTAAAAATCTGTTCCATAGAGGGCGCCAATATACCCGACCGCTCCATCCATATCAAAAAATGTCTGAGGCAAAGGTAGCGCAAACTGTTTAGAAGCCGTCGGGGAAGTGATGTGAAATATATTGATTGCTTTGGCTTATTAATGACGTTTCGATCGGCGATGGCAGCTACCGCAGACATTAGCAAAGCTATTAAGTCAGTTTTTGAACGAATCGAGGTGGCATGTGTTAAAAGACCAGAAGTAAATACCAATCTGAATACCCCAGAATGGCTAGGCCAAAGCCTGTATATCGTTTACAAATTGTGTGCAGGACACAAGCACCCCCTCTGTCACTCCATTGGCACTAGCTAGGCTTGAACCGGTTGCTAGGCCTAGAAATATTAAGAGTTTCAAGCCCCTTGTATGACTGAGGATGCACCAAATTTTTTGTGTGATATTGCATGGATGGGCTTATGATTTAGTAATGAATTAATCGTTCCTGTATTTTCATTGTATTTAGCGTTTTTTAGTACTTTAGTACCTAGTAGGCCTAGCTAATCTACCCCTCTAGGCCTAACCTAGAGAAAGTTTGAAATAGCAAAGAAAAGAAAAGGTATGTTGT